AAAAGATACATCCCCCAACCTTCAGGCATCTCAACTTTAGGAAATATGCTGACCTTCAACCAGGATGTTGTAAAGCCAGAATGACTGAACCAGGATGCACACTGGACCACCACTTGCCGTATTGGAATGGACTGTGCTCGTCTGCACGTGGAGGACTTTGCAACCCCCTCCCATGGTCTCTTTGTTCTGTTCCCCTCTCCTTCCTTATAAAAACCTCTGCCTCCACTGAGACAGGGAGATGGGCTGAGATGTGAGTCTCCCATCTTCCCAGGAAATGGGCTTCAAGACACGAGTCCCTCATCTTCCAGCTGGCTGGCACCTGAATAAACCACTTTCCATTACATCAGCACCTGCCTCTCGACTATTGGCTTTTGTAGCAACAGCTGGCTGGACCTGCATTTCGATTAGTTTTTGGCAACCCTGATGGGAAAACATGAACTCCGGAAGGCCCAGAGGGCCCAGACTAGAGTCCCAGCCGCTTGTGGCAGGACGACCCTGTGCCTGGGACTGCAAGAATTTCCCAGGAGCTGCCAAGCGTTCTTTACTTGGGGGACTCTTCCTGCTCTCCCTCTCAAGGCATCAGCCACCTTTACATGCTTTGCTGGTGAAAGGAAACAGGTTGTTGGGCTGAGGAGCCCAGACTGGGTAACTCCTTGGCGTGCACACCCGGGAGCACCTGCCCTACCACTTGGGTTCCTTGTGACCATTTGGGATTTGGTAGGAGTCAACAGGTGCTGCTCAGCAGGAGGCACAAGTCAGCAACATGAAGAAAATCGTAGTTCCCAAGTGTGGGATTTGGTTGGAGCACTTTTCTGGTTTGGGTTGGCATATTATTTGCTTTTCTTGTTGCATGCTGCTTTTTAATCATCTATTAGTTTGGTTTCTCTGTTCCTTTGTAGGAACAAGTCTGTTTCTGTTTGAGAACTCTCAACTTTTCTACCTGTCTGAAATAAAACTTTGGTTACAGTTTTTTGCTTGCTTTCTTATCTTTTAGCAACTTGGTTTGATCTCTGCTGTTTTGTACATACTGGGAATCCTTAGCCTCCAGCATTTGGATCTCGTCAGGGTCATTCGCGGTACTGGTAGGTGTGAGACAAGAGTCTAAGGCTAGTCCCAGTCCCACTTTTAGAGGATTTAGTTTGAGCATACTCATGTACATATTTAAACTTTGTCTTTGCTTTATATACTGTTCTTGTTTCTATTTTGAAAGGAATGGCTCAGTCTGATCTCAAATTGTTTTGCCAAAGGCCTGGTAATGGGACAAGATCTCTAATGTACAAACTTTCATGTTGTTATACCATGAGGATTTTACTCAGAAAGGATTAAAATTCATGGTTTAAAAAGGGGGGGGGGGAGATCTCATTCTCCTCTCAGACAGTAAAACTAAGAAAAAATTACAAAAATGAGTCTTTTAAACATTCTGAATCCTCCTTGTAGATGCCCAAGAGCTGTGGTCCCAGGAACAAGCCCAAGGCTGGTATCTCCCCCGCCTCTTCTCCAGGCTGCTTTGAGTTGCCACAAGCATTTGATAATAAAACAGCTGACTTCTGAGCACACTTTAGAAATGCAGAAATCGCCAAGAATCCAAATAGATAGTTTATATTAAGTTAATGTCTCTTCAAGTTATTAACGTGAAATATACTTTTTTTGTCTGGGTTTATGAAAAAGTTCATGTTATCTCTGTAAGTGCTGTCGGGCGTGCGAGAGGCAACCACACATTGATGCTTCTTTCCCTCTATCTCTCCTCTCCCCTCTCTAAAAATAAATAAGTCTTAAAAAAAGATATCCAGAATTATTAAAATCAAATGCATTAGTATTGGTCACTATCCCTGCATACCATTCTACCTTCAGCAAAAGACAAGGTCAAAATAAACTTCCTCAAAGCAACACAGATCTCTTTTATTTTGTTTGTCTCTGCTATTCAGGACACAAACCTGGTTGCTCCTACATCTCCTCACCAGGCAGCCTCTGCCTCAGGGACTTAGGCCAGGATCTCTCAACCAAGTGTGAACCAGCCCTTCTGGGGGTGTCTAGACACCCATGGGGACATTTCTGGTTGTCACGATGATTTGAAGGAGTGTTACTGGCACATTGTGTGTGTGTGGGGGGGGGAGGGAGGGGCGGGGTATGTAGGTTGGCTGTGGAGCCAAGGATGTACTCAGGATAGTCCTATGAAAGGAGGAACTGTCCTAACCAAAATGCCATCATGTCCCTGGGCAAAAAATAAAGGCACGCTGGTCATACCCAACTGGGGCATGCGGGTTGTCCCCCACTTTCTGAGGGTCACTCAAGGACTTTCAATCTGAAGGACTTTGCCAACTACACTCAGACAGCCAAGAGATGAACATAAGGGGCCCATTCTCCAAAGTCTAGACTCCATGACTTACCCACCCCTCTTAGTACCATTTTGTTAACAGCCCATTACCCATCTGTAATGGAACTATACCCTCTCTCTGTCATAGCAACCATGATAAATAAGACTTATTTTTAACTCCCCAGAGTGAAAGCTGGGAAGCTACGTGGGAGAGCCACACACAGCCCATTGAAGGAGGCCTCCAGAATGCTGTGTCTGAACCCACTGACCCATTCAGCCCTCTGCATGGTCAAGCATACCACCTGGCCACGGCCAATGCTGATGATGGAGGCTCTCCCAGACCCTGGCTGTTATTAGTATGGCGGGTGAGCGTCCACTGAGCACAGGGAGGCAGCTGGCTTTGTGCATTCACTCTACACTCCCTCTAGATCCTTAAGGCTCTACCCACAATGAAACGGGCACAGAGATCACATGCCAGATTAGAAATGCCTCAGAACACCTACGTGGTGGAACGTCAGGCACTAGGCCCCATCCGGTCACTATCTAGGTCTGACTGTATAATGCTGGACACCCTAGCTGACCTTTCTGAGCCTCAGTTTCAAATCCACAAAAAGGGGTTTGTGTGGCTATCTGGTCTTCAGGGACATTCCAGCTCTACATTCCATGGTCTGGGGACAGGATGTGGTTTTATTAGCCTATTTTTCTCTGGGCATTAGCACCTCCTGTTTTCTAGACCGGATGTTGCCTCAGCAGTCTGGGAAAGTTGGTGTTAGCACCATGGATTCTCAGCAGCAAAGGCACTATTACCTTTCTAACCTCAAAGACAGAAAGCAACAGGCTGGCCTAACCTTGTTTATATATTTTTTAAAATAAATTTTTAAAGATTTTATCCATTTATCTTTAGAGGGGAAGGGAAGGAGCGAGGGTGAGAAATATCAATGTATGGTTGCCTCTCCCGTGTCCCCTGCTGGGAACTGGCCTGCAACCCAGGCATGTGCCCTGACTGACCGGGAATCAAACCGAGATCCCTTAGTTTGCATGCCTGAGCTCAATCCACTGAGCTACACCAGCCAGGGCCTTGTTTATACTTCTTAATTTGAATTTCAGCAGCTTGAGAAGACCAAAAATATACCGCATTCAATACTTACATCAGGCTCCAATCACAGTGCCCTCTCTCCACTTGAAGGCGTGGCACTGATTTTACAGGAAAACTGTGTGGCAGGGAGAATGCTGAACCAGATTCAAATGAGACTGTTTAAAATACCACCCCTCTCTGTTTTTACTATCACTGTAAGTGTAATATTAAAGGTAAGAGTTTGTTGCTTGCCCATTGAAAGCAGTGGCCATGATACCTATCATAATACCTATCATGATACCAACATAGTATGTTGGAGAAAAGATATTCAGAATTAATCTCAGCTCCCCCACTTAAAAGCACTACCACTGAACGAATTTCAACCATGCGCTAGCCAGACTATACAATTTTAAACGTCCCAGCAAACCCTGCAGTAAAGTCTCCACTTTATGGATGGGTACCCTAAGGAACTCACTTTGCAAATGAATTTCATAAAAATTCTGCTTTGCTCTCCATAACTGGAAAGGGAGAAGCGTTCTACAAACATTTCTGAACGCAAGATTCGTTTCAAAATTGCAAAAGGAGTGTCATAGCTTAGGTGTGACTGCCACACTCCCTTTCATAACTGTCTCATTAAAAGCTGCAAGGGACTAATAATCACTCTGCCTGATTACACGCAGACCGCAGAGATTTGCCTTCTCTCCGGAGGAACCAAGACATACTTGGATAGACGGCGGGGCCCCAATCCCTATCGCAAAAATTTCTCAAGTTAACTGACATCTTAGCAAATCATAAAGATCTGAGACGAGATCTTAAGATCAATCTTTCCTTATGCACTATAATTCCACACTCTCTCTGAAGACACCAACCAGGAAAGAAATGTTTAAAGGCCCCGGGGAAACTCCGGGCACCCTTCGGAACTCGTGCTCTCCTCGGGCTAAAGATCCTACCTCAACAAGATCTCTAGTACCAAGAGTTCTGAATTCCGTGAGCACCACGAAACTGATCTCTAACTTTCAAGATTGCAAAGAAAGCAGTTTAAAGCCAGAGGCCTACAAACTGGGCGCCGCCTTCTACTCCATTTTGGTGCTGCAAAAGTCTCCGGATGCCTGAAGCACTGCTGCAGGGTAAAACTTCAGGGGAAGTCCTACGTTTGCAATGAAAAGAAAAGCCGGAAGCAAGCAGGCCGTCCCGCCACGTGGGCCGCAGTCGGAGAGGAATCACAGCGGAAGCTGGAGTCCAGCAGAGCACGCTGAGCCCGTCTCACCGGCTGCAAGCACACCGACACCTCAGCCGGACCCACCTCCCCGGAAAGTAGTGCTCGGGAAAGGTTGGAGCGCGGGCGGAACTCTGGCCCACAGTCCTTCCCCAAAGGGCTTGCCCACGTCCTGCGCGGGGAGGATACAGCTCAGACCAAAGGTGGAGGGGGCAAGTTTGCAAGCATTCCCTCACGCCCCACTCCCCGCCCCTAGCCAAACCCGCCCAGGGTTGCGGTGCCTCAGACCTTTCCCACCGCGGCGGGGGCGCACTGCCCCGTGGCGCGTTTCCCCGAGGGAGGAGCAAAGCAGCACCTGCAGGGTGGATGGTAGCCGCTGAGATGGTTAATCTCACCTTCACAGCTGTAGGGGTGGCACCTGAGGCCATTTCTGTGCCAGGGAGAGGCCGCAGGGTGGGCACGCGGGGCTTGCGCGCTAAACGAAGTAACAGAGCGGGATAGAGCTGGCTCTGCAGAACTGAGCAGTGCGCATCCGGGAGCAGCTCTGGCTCCTCCTCTTCCTCCCCGGAACAGCTGGATTGGCTGCTGGCGTGGGATCTCCCCTCCTCCTCAATTCCAGGTTCCCGCGGTCCGCCCCTTTGCAGACTTTTCTATTTCTTAGTCGGTGTGTTTGTTTATTTATTCCATCCCCAATTATAAGTAACGGGTTCATGATCATGATAATGGAGACTATTTACTGAGGCTTTTATGGTTCTAGATTCTTTACCCCGCCCTTTAATCACCTCCGTTAACTTTAATAACCCTACACGGAAGAGCTGCACTCAGCTCTGCCAGCTATTAGCTGCCTCATCTGTGAAATCTGTCTGGTCGGCCTTCCAGTTCTCACGGAGAGTGAATCCATCACCAGGAGGGGGCGCACTATGGCTTACTCATCTGCAATTTGAAGGGCGTCTTTTAAGCAGATGAGACTGCCTAACTCTCCCGTCCTGACTCAACAGTGCCTGGAGCATCTGTAACCCCTCCCACCCAAAGCAACATCCAATACACCTAGATTCAGAATCAGACTCCTGTCTTCATCATTTCACATTGGTCGGTCACCTCCAAAACAGACACACACACACACACACACACACACACACACACAGTGTCATAATTGACTAGTAAATTTAAGAACAGAGATATGGGAGTTGGACAAGCAGGACTTGAGGAGGGGAGTCGTGATCAGAGGAAAGGGGGCACAGATGTATTCCCGAGTCAGTGTCAGTGGCTTCAAGGGTAAGAAGGTTTTTGTAGGTTCAAGATCCAAGATATAAGCAACACACTAATCACTTGATTACTTACATATGGTCATTTACAGTTCAAATGGCAAGACTCCACATTAAATGTTTTTATAAACCATTTACAGAGTGATTTACATAAATATTTGGTTTTCTAGCATGATAGTTGATTCCCCTTTGTGTAGGCACCCCTGGGGCTGTCCCATTAAATTGGTTGAGTGCCTCGACCCATTAGTGGTGGTCATACTATTTTTGACCACAAGGATCAGATAGTGAGATTTCCTAAGAAATAATCTCAGGTAGGATTATCGGTGATCTATATTCTGTTTTGGAGGAACTTAAAGAATGCTAGATGGACCTTTGTAATTGGCTGTTGGAGGAACTTAAAGAATGCTAGATGGACCTTTGTAATTGGCTGTTTATGAATTAAGAGACAGATCAATGGTTCTTGAAACCATTCATGGTGCGAAAGTAATAATTTTTCTGATGGGATAGATATATAGAGTTGGGAAGTATCTGAGTATAAAAGCAGCTGCTATTATTGAAGTCCTTGCATTCCCTTCTAGCCTGACAATAATAAGCTGTGGAAAAAATTGTTTGCTATATTTGTGAATAATGTAGATAATTCTGCAAGTATACAAATAATTCTCTTTCAAAAATATTTGAGTTCTTGAAAATATTTTGCTTATAGGTATAAATTTGTCTTGTCAGGAATTTGAAAATCTTAAAAATGAAAGAAAATGTGTTAAAATTTTGAAAAACGCTCAAAATATTTGAGATAATTACAAAGGAGGATTGAGGGAAATTATTCTGTTTGGTATAAAAAGATTAATCACTGAAAAACTGATGATATTTCTCATCATACCCAATTTAGAAATAGAATAGTAAAATTTATAAGTTGAACTTAAATACTTAAGGAAGACTTGTTTTTGATTTTGTGACCTTAATAAATTGAATGTTAATTTTAAAACCAAATAGCTTTTAAACACTTCCTTGCAGAGCCCTCGACTTCAGAATAGCAAACACGGAAACAAAATACTCACATTGCTTACTCTACCGAGAGTGGAAACTGGCCGGACTGAAGGGCATGAGGGACAGTCTGGAGGTGAGGAAGAGAGATGGTGGATTCCTCTTTCAACAGGTTTGGATGAAAAGGGAGGAGACATTGGAACATGATAAGAAAAGGATAGGAAGTCACTGTTTTTAATATATTTGTAAGCAGAGGGGGAAGTTCACATGGAAGGAAAATTGGAAGATACTACTGATAGAATGAGGAGACTAATGGTGCAAGATACCAAAGAATTCCAGAGGGATGGCCGGGGGCATCGTGCTACATCAGAGGACAGGGACATGGGCCTGGAAGAAAGAGGGTAAACGGGAACTCTAGACACATTTAAGGCTAGGTTTTGTAAACCTACAGGGCATCACTCCTGATGGCCTAATTTTCTCAGCAAAGTGGGAACTAGGGGTTTAAAAATTGGTGGCAAAGTTTTGGCATGGTTGTGGAACCATGTCAGATCAGGGACCATGAATTTGAAATGGTGCCCATCTGCTAGAGTATATGTAATTGTGAGGAAGAAAGAAATTTTATTCTACCCTTCTAGGTTCTTTTGGCTACTCTAATAATGAAATACACATGAGATATACTAACAAGCTAAAATAACCAAATTCATTACATGAATATGTATGGGAACCCCACATATATGAGAGATTCAGAGACAGAAAGGTAAAATAAGGTATATATGACATCCTGGCAGTTGGCTAAGGAATGAGGTGAGAGGCTTGACTAATCAGAGAAGAGGAAAATAATTAATAGTTTGATAGGAAAAAGTTATCTCTGGTAATAACTCTTATTATGGACCAGGCACCTAGTTTAATTTTCCAGGTATTTAGGTGGGAACAGAGGTTTCTCTTGAGCCCACAGTCTCTATTGCCTTCAGCTCCAAGTAATCCACATGCCAAAGCAGCACATCTTGGGGAGGCCTGTTCTGAATCCCTTTATAACTTTACCTGATAGACCCCTATTTATCAATTAGATGGGGGTTCAAGGAATGAAGGTGTTTGGGAGGTGGGTTGATATTATCAGCTAGAGCAGTCTAGCCTTATGGAAAGCAAAGAAGCCAGGAAGGGGCTGAGTGATAGGTGGAAGTGAAGGATTGAGGAACTAGAAGTCTGAAGGAATCTAAGAGCAGTGATGGTAAAATGAAAGGGTGTGGAAGATGGAAGGAGAAGGGTCATGGGAGGTGATATGGAAGCTCAAGATTTAGAAGAATTGTAACCTGAAGTTATGACAAGATCCAGGAAGTGAACAACTGAATCAGGTAATCAGATAAGGTGGAAGTTGTTTGTGTGTATGTGCATGTGTGTGTGTGTGCTTCATTAATGCTGCATCTTCTGGAACAATGGCAGGGCCTGGGGAAGAGGGGAGGGTCAGTCTGGATCCGATTGCCAGAGAGGCTGGCAAATGGAGCCATAAGGATGGTCAGAGATGCTACAAAGACGGTAGAGACCTCACAATAGTCATAGTTTTATAGAGGTCATGGGAGCAAAGCATTTGGAAGTGGCAGTGAGGAACCAGGAGAATGCTGCACCTCACCAGAGTCTCCTGCTGTGGGGGGAGGTATATACACATCCTCACCAGAGGCCTGTGGTGGGAAACCGTGGCACAGTTTCAGTAAAGTCAAGGAGATGGAATGGATGATCTGGAAGGAGGTTGAGCTTGTAGAGGAGCTTATTAAACAACCATTTCAGAGGGTGCAGTGGAAAATATATTTATAAAATGCTGAGGGAAAATGGAAGAGGGGAATTGCTCATCAAATTGGTAGCTTGGGAAGATTCAGGAAAAACTTCCAGGGGAGGTCATATATGATTAGGGTCCTGAAAGACAGGTCCTACTCAGCTAAGTAAAGGAGCGAGGGAGGGGGGAGGAAAGGAGAGGTAAGTGTCAAGTGTTAAACCGAGGGCTAATATCTCATGGAGATACAGCACCTCTGTGGTATCGCCTTATATTCCAAGTGCCTGGATTGAAGAGTAGGTCTGAAGTACTGGCGATCACTGAGGCAGCTTCTGATCAAACTGTGAAACTATCTCTTGCTCGTCAAAAGGAGCAGAGGTAAGAGAAACAAAGTGGCGTGCTACTCAGTTACACAGGTCTCCCCAGAAATCTTGTGCCAGATGCAAAGTTTTATTCTGGACCATCTGACAATAAAACATCAGTACAAATCTTGCTCCAAAAAGAACACACTCCTTCTTAACTTATTTAGCTCTTTACTTAAAAGTTTTGTGCTTATAATGGACTTAAAATAGTGAGCAAGCCACACGTGTTCTCTCCACGCCGTCAAGGCTGCATTACATCGCGTTGCGTTCACCGTGCCTGGCCGCCCTCCCCTCTCCCTCCCACTGCTTGCCTGTCCTCTGCTTCCATCCCCCTTCCCTCTCTCCTTCAGACTATTACTCAGCCCAGGCATCACAGATTTGATACGACTGATCTGATGGATTCCGGTACGCTTAAAAACAGATTTTCATGTAATTTTGCCTTGAAATTCTTCATTTTTCTTTGTCACATTGGTCAGTTTTGTGTCCTAGTCCTTGCATAGAGCATGGTTATAGGTGCATAGTACAGCTTATATTCATTTATTGAATGAAAAAACATTTATTGTTTTCAGTTTCAGCAAAAGAAATGTCAGAAATGGCAACGCACCTGAACAGCAGGGGGCAGCAAATATTTGCTTTTTTTTTTCCTTTTACCTGCGAGTCAACAGTGTCTAATACTTGAGTCAGGGTGGCTTCATCTGAGAAAGGAAAAAAAGAAAGAGAAAGAGAGATGGGCATTACAGTTTCAAGGTCAACTCTGAAAGGCAAGTGTATTCTACTGTAATTTACTTCAGTGGCTTCTAGGAAAATGTGTGTGGTTTTACTTAGTTCCTCAAGAACCCCAAATTGTTCATGTAGTTATATACCAATGGTCAGCAGATGGCAGCACTTTTCAAGGATCAGGAATATATACAGAACAAGATTTGCAGGAAAAAATTAAGTATATTTGGACATGAAATCTTTATTTAAAAAGCTACAGAAGTAAAGTTACTATTAAGTAGGGATCGGGCTTTTTAGTCCTTCAATATCTTGATGAAAAGGAAGTAGAATTTTAACCACAGGTACAGCGTTCATTTTGAAGCAAGCACTAAAATGTTTTAAAATACCAAGTTTGAGCCTCAGAGAAGGTGAGCTGTAATTGACAGAAATCATTTGGATTTTACTATGTACTTT